GCTAGCTTGAGTGATGTTTCTCGATTTGTCAGGTCTTTTCAATGCTTGATACAAGAACTCCAATGCGAGCGGCTACTTGCTGCACCATGTTCCGCGACTGCGCAATGGACTTGAGAACCGAATATTATAAGGATAAAGATGTAGGCAATAGAGTTTTGTTCAATATGGTCGATCGGGCTGGAAAAGAAATCAGGTGAGAGTTTGTGTCTTCAAGCAACCTAATGTGTTTTCCATGCTTTCAAATTCAATGAGATTGGTCATTTTTCATGGTTTCCCTCCTTTTGTAATTGAACTTGGTCTATGCAATCATTTCCCATGGCTTCCGTTTGTGCATGTAGATCCCTCAAACTTGGTCGTGTTACTCGCGGATCTTCTCCATCTGTGGGAAGAGGAACTTGTCTTTTGCTGCTATCTGATTATGATGGTTTTCACGGGTATGGGCTATTGAAATCTCATCATCAAACTTGTTATTTTTATCTGACTTGTCCAGTCTAAACGTAAATAACAGAGTTAAGGTTGAAAAACGAACATGTTGAGTATGGCTTCGTTAGATAGGTTAGAACTAGAACAAGAAAAAGATACCAATGCAATCTCACCATGCCTTCTTATTCCCAGAACTCATTTGTTTATGGCTAATGCTTTATGAAGAATCTAGCCTGTGAGAAACCAATATCTCTTATTAATATCTTGGAGTCTTGCTAAATCCCTTCGATTGTGCATTTGAAAGTGATTCAGAACCTCTATCAATAACATACACAGAATATGGTTTCACTGGTTTCTTGCTCGGGAAATTGTCATTCTATTAACATTTTTGTTTAATCTTTTTAAAAATTGGTGTCATCTTTCTCCATTCAATTAGGAGTTGCTTGAGAAGCCAGCAAATGTCACGTAAAGCTTTTCCGCTGTGAAGCTTCTTGTTTTGTTTACTCTTATGTTTGCTCAAGCTTAACTAATAAGTATGTAACAGGTACAATAGACACTACAACCTGTCCATCCTTGATAAAGTTTGTGACCTACTCCCCCAACTTAACTTCTTTAACGCTCATAAATTTTCCACTAACCGATGAAATGGCCGGAATTCTAGCTGAGGTATGGCTTCTATTCGATTTTCTGGTAATTCTTCTCTCTTCATTTAGTACCATCTATGCTTTTACAGAGCCTCAAGAATATTTGGATGTTATTTGCAGAGTTCTCATACGCTGAAGTACCTGAATCTGTCCAGATCGTCTACAATCAAGGGTCGTTTTTTGAGATGCAAACACATAATTTTAAGAGTGCAGTTTCTTCCAGAGTTCTTTATTAGCAGAATTTCACATAACAAGAAAACATTGTTGGTAGGGATTTGGGACATAGCTGCAAAGACAGTCCACTCAAGACGCTAATATTGCGCAACTGTTTTAATCTAGAGGAGGTAAAAGATTAAGCATAACAAGTTTTTGGTTGTTGCATCACAGTCTTGATCTCACACTCGCTGACCTCGACTTTGCAGAGAGAAGTCTTGCAACTGTGTGAGTCACTAGTCACAGGAGGCTTCAAATCCATTCAACACATTGTAAGTTCTTGTAGAATTAATGCCAAATTCTGTGTTTCGAATCACTTGGTTTACTCTTAATTGTCTTCTTCTTCTTGGTTTACTATAATAGGATGTTTCGAATAAGCGTGGCTTACTTGCTGTTGGTGGCAAGAAGAGATCTTACAAACCAAAGTAAGCACTTGATGTTCATTTATCGTATTTAGATTGTTAACATTTTTACCAATTATAACCACAAGTTGGGTTCATGTCGTACTAATGACTCACTGTCCATAAAC